TAGAATGAATGAATGAATGAATGAATGAATGAATGAATGAATGAATGAATGAATGAATGAATGAATGAATGAATGAATGAATGAATGAATGAATGAATGAATGAATGAATGAATGAATGAATGAATGAATGAATGAATGAATGAATGAATGAATGAATGAATGAATGAATGAATGAATGAATGAATGAATGAATGGGTAAATTAACAAACAGACAAGTGAATGAATGAACAAAAAATAAATGAATGGTTGATTGATTGACTGACTGACTGGCGAAAGAGAGCATACAAGAAATTAATAGCTAAAATAAAAAATTGCTAATAATTTTGCCAATATGTCGAAAAGTAAAAAAAAAATACATTGTCGACACAGTTGCAAATTAAACACAATTTAGAACTTTAGAACTTTTCTAAAAAAATAGAAATATTTCAGGAGACCTCTCCAAGATGGTCCTAGAGATGTAGAGACACGTACGAAAACATTTATAGACCCCACTAAATAATAAGGCTCTCCACTTCATCCTTGCTTCGTGACTCCCACTTTTGTAGATCCGGACTTGACCAGAACGCATAAAATGTGGGGTTTTTTTCTTATTTGGCTTTTGGGATCTCCACAATTCATTATCCAAACCTATGTGGCTAACAGCGTGTAGACGGGCCTGATTTAAACAGACTGCCACGTTGTCTTGGATGGCGTTCATGAAAATTCTTCTTTTATATCGCGCTTAGAGTTTAAAAATTTAATTGAAAAGTCGCCAAACAAAATGAATGATTTAACTTGAAAATAAACAAGTCAAAAAAAAATTCATTTTATTCCAAACTTCCACCAGCCGCCAAATTAGGCTACAAAGTTTTAGACAGTGAAGAAAAAATAAATCCAACCAATCGATAGCTATTTTATTCGTATATAAAATGAAGCTTTCATTTTGGTGTCATCATTAAGAAAAATTTATTATTCATGAACTAATTAATTAATTAATTTATTAATAATCAGTTATATTCGAATTAGAGGTTAAATAATAATTTTAAAAAAAAATATATAAATAACCATTTTTAAAATGCGACGACAATGCTCTGTTGATTAAATTTTACATTTAAAAAAATTACAATCGGTTTCTCTGTTACTATTATCATCAATTGTGTCGGTTGTTACTGCGACCCACAAGCCTAGGGTCAATTAGACGAGCCCATGGCAAATCCCTCACCTTCACCCCCTAAAAAAATTTGCCAAGATGACACATATTTATCTCAGTATAGTTGTTTGTCTGCATTTTCAACACGTTGATGCTAATAAACAACTCGAAAACCTAAAAAAGGAGTTATTAACGATAAAAAATCTTTAAAAATCATCAAAAAACATTTAAAAAAAACAACAAAAACTATTGAAAAAACAAACATTAACACACACCAGGAAACATAAACCTACGAACAATGAACCGACAAAAAGTACAAACATTGTCGCAAAATATATTTTAAATAATTTTCAATTCTCTACCATTGAAAACAACGCAACGTAACGTAGGTCGTCTGCATAGCAAAGAGAACGAAATCAACAAACTTTTGAAGTTCTTGAGGGAAGAAAAGATGAAGAATGATCGCTATCATCAACAACAACATCAGCAACAGCATCAACAACAACAATTTCAACAAAGCGACTTAGAACGAAAAGATAGACTGTCAACATTAACTGTCAATACATATTGGCATCATTTACAAAAACGACAATCAACACAACAACAACAACAACAACATCGACAACAACTACAACCTCAGCGACAACAACATCAACAACAACGACAACAACAACATCAACAACAACAACAACAACGACAACAACAATATCAACAACATCAACAACGACAACCACAACAACGTCAGCAACAACAACAAAACCATCAATTCTTTCAAGAATACAATGACCCGAAAATTTCTTTATTTACCAATCAAAAAAGCTGGTATCAACATTATCGTCATCTGCATCAGAGTGTTACGCTAAAACAACTACAACAACAACATCAACAACAACAGCAACATCAACAACATGAACAACAACATCAACTTAGAGCGCAGAACACTGAGAATAGCTTATTAGGGCCATTACACGAATACGAATCTTCATTACAAATTGCCTCACAAAAAACTCGACAACAAAAACATCATCAACAACATCAACAAAATCAACAACATCAACAACAACAGCATCCACATCAACAACAACAGCAACATCAACAACCACAGCAACCTTTCGTTAGCAACAGCCATCAGTCAAAATCTAAAACAATTAAACACGAGAGAATTTTTCAAATTTTTTCATCAACGTCTGATAGGACATTCTTTGAAACTTCAAAAACGTCAACAACAACA